TTAACTCTTCGACCGGTCGGCTCCAGTTCTTCACCTTCTGCCGCTCGGTTTGATTCGACACAACCTCATGCCGTTCGGTTCAACCCCTTATCACCTTCTGCCGTTCGGCTCGGTTCCTTACAGCTTTCCAACGTTCGATGCCAACTGCTCGACCTTGGTCATACCTCGCTTGGTCTTTCCCATAGCTTTCCACCGCTCGGTTTGATTCCTTACTGCCTTCCATCGTTCGGTTACCTTCTTCTTCTCTCACACAGATTTCCACCGCTCGGCTTATGTCTCGTATACCTTCCAACACTTCATTTTATTCTAGTGTTTAGACTCAATATCGTTCGGCTTCGTTACAAAGTCGTTCGGTTTGTAACTGTGTTAGGCTTATGTTCGACACCATTTGGTCATTAACTGTTCGACCTGAGTTTAGCCTGTGTTCGACCTCCATATGCTATACGTCGTTCAGCCTTTTTGATACAACTGTTCGGTCTTCAACTAATGATTACCATTCGGTCTTGAATAGTTTTCACCCTTTAACTGATGTACGTTGTTCAACCTTTATTGTTACTGACCATTTGATATTCAACTGAGTTTGGCCAATGTTCAACTCCGTTAAGTTCTATAAGTGTCCATTCTGTCTCAGGCATGCCTTTGCTCAATTGCCAGGTTCAATTCTTTCTACAACCACTTCACCTTCCAACTGCTCGATCTCGTTCATGCCTTCTACCGTTTAGTCTTGGTCATGCCTTCTATCGTTTAGTCTTGGTCATGCCTTCTACCGTTCGGTCTTAACTGCTTGATCCTAGTGTCTTCTCTTATACAGAAATGCTTTTAAACTCATACAACAGAAGTCTTCTTATTCTTCACTTTGTAACATCATCAAAATCATTATCTTCAAGATACCAATGCTCCTTATTAGTAACAAGAACCAAGTAGCACAACATTCAGAAAAAGATTTATTTTTCGTAAAAGTCTTTGTGATAATCGACTATCACTAAGGTTAATCGATTATCATAATAAGAAATTATTATTTGAAAATTTTTCGGGAATAACCGATTATCAGTTATCATAATTGATTATCAGTAGCAATTGTGAACTTGACTCTTAGTTTTTTTACCTAATTTTCAAATGCAAAAGTCTATAAATAATTAACTTAAACATAACTTAAAAACAATTTTTCACTTAAGAGTATTAGAGTTGTGTGCCTAAGGGAAACTCTCTATTTGTGAAAAGGGAGCTTGTGTTACTTGGTGGTTATAGGAGTAAGTGCTCTTTCTTAGTATGTCTAAGTGGTAGAGTATACCTATAAAGCAGAGTCAAGTTGTTCATCCTTTTATGCGTCAAAAGGAGGTGCCTTTCATCTCTTATATGTTAAGAGAGGTGGTTTATAATCCCAATCTTTATTTCTCTATTTTAAATTGTTACTTATTTTAGTGGAAAGGTTAATCCCTCTTTTAGAGAGATTAACAATTGGACGCAGAGTCTTTTGATCGGAACCAGTATAAAAATTACCTATGAAATTTTTCTCTTCCCTTCTCTCCTTTATTTATTTGCTTCTATTCAAAGTAGTTTTTCAGTTTCATTAAAAAAATTAAAAGCAAAAACCTGTTAAAAAGGAAGTAATTTTTAACTTGAACCAATTCAAACCCCCCCCCCCCTCTTGGTTTGTCTTACATTCTAAACATTCCACTACGCGTTTCCAACAAAAAGCCTTTAACAAGAATTTTTTATCATCATATAAAAAGGGGTAGATTGTTACCAATAAGATGGATCAAAGCTTTGAAAGATTTTGATGATGATGCACTCAAAGATTTGAAGAAAAATTTACATGTCTGGATGAATTTATGTTAAAGTTTTTTTATTGTAATTTTCATTTTAATAACTTTAGACATTTTACTTAAAATATTACAGAGTAAGAGTATAGTTTGAAAAACTCTAAGTGTTTAAGAAAGTTTGTGGTTTCGATGCTTGAAGAAGGAAAAGTTGTTATTTAGTGTGTCTAAGTTGTTGGTGCTCTTCTACCAAGTTGAATCAAGTTGTTTATTCTTTTGTGTGTCAAAAGAAGGTGTTGGTAATCTCTTATCTGTTAAGAGAGGTGTTTTCTAATCTCATATTTGTTTCTCTGTTTTAAACTGTTAGTCATTTTAGTGAAAAATTTAATCTCTCTTTTAGAGAGATTAACAACTAGATGTAGAATCTTTTTATTCAAACTAGTATAAAATTTACTTGTGTAATTCTTCTCTTCCCTCTCTACTTTATTTATTTGCTTTTAATCAACACAAGTTTTTAGTTCTATCAAAGAAATTTTTAAAAGCAAAAAATTGTTTAAAGGGAAGCAATTTTTAACTTGAACCAATCACCCCCCTCTTGGTTTTTTCCTACACTTAAACATTTTGTTGTGCGTTTTCAACATATTTCTCACTGTACTAGAAAGATAAAATGATGCTAACTAGATCTATGATTCATATGAGACAAATCCATTAGTGGTTATGGATTCACACTTGGGAGTGATGTAATTACGTAGAGATAAGTCAGACAGACAATTATTGCAAGATCAACAATGAAATATAACTTTATTTCTCTTGAAATGACTGGTAGTGAAGTTATGTTCCTGAAAAACTTCTTAGCAAACATTTTAGTAGGAATGAAACCAACCACAACCTTGTCAATACATTGTTTCTCTCGAAATGACTTGTAGTGAGACTAAGTGGTTAAAAACCTTCTTAGCAAACATTTCGCTAGGAGTGAAACTAATCCCATATGTATTAATACATTGTGATTTCCAATTGGCAATAACTATAGCTAGAAACAAGAATTACAATGAAAAAAAATAGACATATACATTTGAAACATAATTTGGTAAAGTAGTTGCTAAAGAGTAGAATTATTTTCATTGATTATATGAAGTCAAAACGAAATCTAGCAAACTTTCTAACAAAACTCCTAGGAAGAAATATGGTTTAGAAACATTGAGGGAAATGAGACTTAATTCACTTCTAAACAAACAAGTGATGGTAACTCAACCTTTATGATTGGAGATCCAATGAGTATGGTTTATATGAGTAAAATCAAGTCACTTGTTAGTTTTGATAACACTAAATTGATTTTTAATCCACTATGTTTGTTCTTATGGTATGTGTGAAAGTGTTAAAGACTCTATTATTGAGATATTAAACTTTGTAGTTGAAATTCTATGTGATGTAAAAATTTTAGTTTAAACACATTTTCTAATGACTTTCATATCCCTTATGGGTGGTGTATGATTTACATCATATACTTGATGAAATCACCTATATTAGTGTCGAGTAAGGGCACTTGTATGAGATCTTGGCATAATTTCTAGACCATTCATAAATACTAGGCACGCATATGGGTTAGTAAGAGCAACACAATGATAACAAGGATTGTGGAGGTGTATTGTGATTGACAAACCATTAACACACGTCAAGTGTCTTTGATTGTTATACTAATTATGATGCATTACATTTTATCATATCCATGATTTTTTTTTTATGTGAGTGATTATTGTGATAATAAAATACTGCAAAAGAATTTTTTGCATTGCATGGTTTCAATGAAGTATAAAACAACTGCAAAAACGTATTCCCCCTTTTACGAAACAAGAAAATCATCAAGCCTAGCTTCTTTGGATGAGTCTTTCCACGTGAAAATGTTAGAACCAATTCTTCACTTTTGAACATTGCACATCTTGTTTCTTAAACCATAGTGGTAGTTGTGAACATTGGGCTTGTTATCCTCCGTAAATCTGAGGATATTTTCACTCATCATATACCCCTCCTATACCTATAAATAGGTGCTCAGTCTCTCCTCTTAAAGACAACAGTCATACATCTCTCTCACTCTCTTTTATTTCTTTTATCTTCTCTTTATTTTCTATTTTATACTTACATAATTAACAAAATACAAGTTATTTAAAACACGTCTTATTATGGTTTTTGTATTTTTAGTATCAAAAACTTGCTTTTCGTTCAAAGTATTTAGCTATATAATATTTCGGAAGAACAATTTAAAACATATATTTTTTAAAATCACATGATTTGGAAGGTCAATTTTTTTTCTTACTCATCCCTAATTCATTTATGAGACATTTAGTCACATTTGATAAAATAAATTTACACTTATTTTATCAACAAATTTATCAATAAATTAAAATTCAATTACTGATTAATTTTAAAAAATTAAATTATCAATGCATTTTTGAAAATTTAAAAAATAAATAAATTATCAAATAATTTTAAATATATTCAACTATTGAAAAATTTTAAGAAATTAATTGTGACAAATTTTACCATAGTTCAAAGTAAAAATAACGAGAACTTCAATGCTCATATTTTACTTATGAATGACTAAACCATCCAGTTACTGACAACTTATTGACAATTCCATTAGTAGAGGTAATAAAAATTTTATATTTCTGACTAATTTTAGTGAGAGATCTATTACAGACAAAAATATCTGCTTTCAGCTCTATTAAGCAATTAAGATAGCAATCAAACAACTTTTCATAACTCTGGGTAAACCTTTTGAATTACTTATCCTCAATTAAGTTCAAACATTATTAGTACTTATCCTCACCTATTAAGAATGCATTTCCTTTAAAAAACACAAGTTTTAAAAAACAATATTAACATAATGAACTAAGTCAACGTTTAATTGAATAGTTTTATTTACTTATTCATAAATTAAACTCGATCCGGCATGCTCTTTCCAAACTAAATGATAGAAACCCAATTTTTTTACATTTAACCAACATTATCTTATCTTATTTTTTATTTTTTACTTTTTAAAAGATACAATTTTTTTTAACTATTTTACCTTTACAATACATATTAAGTAAATAACGTGTCACTCCACTGTTACTCAATCCAAATACTTGAATCAAAGACGGCGTTCCTGAAGAATAAAACACAACTACGAAATGCAAACCAATATATTATTAAACAAAAAACAAGTGATAAAAGATAAATAAAGGGAAAAAAAATAGAAAGGGATAATGCAACCAACATAATTAAGACTCAGGTACCTGATAGGGATACAAATACATTATAAAACGCAACCAAAAAAAGGAAAAATAACGATCATAAACAGCAATATGAGCATTGATGCTTTGATCGAACTTAAAATACATAAACTTATTCTCGTTTCATCTCTTCCTGCAACATTTTCACGCTATTTTCCCTGTCAGGGGTTCAAAAACCCACACCAGTTAGAGTGCGGCAATTAAAATCCTTCTCAATGATAAAAAAAATAATAGTAGCGGCAGAAAAGGAGGAATCACTCAATGAAAATCAGGCTTCGCTGGGTACGTGCAGCCAGGCCTTTGGATGACAACATTGGCTGCATAACACCCAGCCCTCACGCATTCTTCAATGGGCTTCTCCTTAACCAATTGTGAAACAAATCCCCCTACAAACGCATCTCCTACAAAAACAAAACAACAGAAGTATATTATCAATTTAACAAGTTTCCTCAAACCTTTAGAATAAACATTTTGGCTCTTTCCATGTTTGTTGCAATATCCATATTCCCACCACAGTATCTTCGCAGGAGAGATTAGTATTTCTTGAATCTTTCTAAAAAACATAATATAGCTATATTTCTGGAATCGTAAAACAATAGATAATTTGTAATAATTATTTAGAAACAACACTTTACAATGAAGAATAAGAACGAAATACAAAAACAATGCAGAAAGCGAGGAAACTATAACTTGAACGCATTTTACAATAATTACCCCTAAACTCAACTATAACTTTGCTTAAAGTCTAAAAACAAAAAAGAATAGAACTGTGTACCTGCTCCATTTGTGTCAACTAATTTCTCTTTAGGTAATAGTATCACAGGGTACAATTTCACTTTCCCATCCTCGGCAACACAGACAGGATCTGCACCTTGTGTGATAACGGTAATCCTTTTATGTGTTCCCGATGCCTTTGGCAACTTGGAAATCCTTAAAGCTATTTCCTCGACGTTATCAGTCTAGTCAATAGGAAAAGAGTCAAAATACGTAACAAATTATAACTTCAAACAAAAACTGCAAGCCTTCCGATCTGCTGAGTAATGATTACCTCCCAGCCTTGAACTTTAGAAAATGTTCTTGCTTCAGTCTCATTTCCAAAAACATAGTCCATATATCTGAATCCAAGAACGTACATCGTTAATAAAATCGATATGAAATTTTTTCGATATTAAAATTAAAGAGTGAATGTTCCTTACGGTAGCACTTTCAACAGTGCATCCTTGAAGAACTCGCAGATAAAGGGAGCGGAAAGGTTCATCATGAAGATCTACATACAGGAATGGAATAGTTATTCCAAGAAACTGCTAGTAAGATGAGAATGCCAAGTTCGAATCATATCTAACCTTGCCATTTGCAGCTGCGTGTTCAGCAACTAATTGAATGGAATCGGGAGACACGGTGAGGAAAAAACCAGAAATATAGTAGTACTTTGCCTTTTCAACTATTCACAAAAATACACGATAACAAATGTCAGTCATTTGGATTATTCAGGTATGAGATAGAAAATGACACTCTATCAACAAGGTACCTAAGGCCCAATTTTCTGGTTTGACCAAATGCTCCGACTTATAGCAATTTGCAGCTGATAAGTTTGCAACGAGCGACCTGTATTTAGATGCAATCAAATAGAAGGCTTCAAATACTTGTTTCGGGATCAAATATATGTTAACCTAAGTACACTATTTAAGAAAAAACATAAAATATAATTATTGATTCCTATAATAAATAGAATAAAGAGTCAAGGAAAGCTTGATCGTCTGACCTTTCACCACCAACCACACAAACAGCACAAGTTCCCGTGGGTGCAGTGTCGATTTCATAATAGTGAACCTGATTGTTGAATGAATAAAAAGTTAATTTCAGAAATGGAATTCTAAGCGGTAAGACAAATCAAAAGATAAACTTACCTTTACACCATCAAGTGAACATCTCTTCTTCATCTCCTCCCCAAATTTGTCCTTTCCTATGCAACCTATGTACCCTGTGGCACCAGGTGCTTGAAGCATCCACTGTTATGAGGTGAAAGCAAATTATTAGTTACACAACTACAGCAGACTCAGCTCACTACATACAAGAAAGTACATACCTGAGCAACCCGGATTGAATTCTGAGTAGCACCTGCCAATGAGAAAATTATAAAAATAGTCAATATGAAATGTGCACCTCCATCTATTTTCTTTCCTGCTCTTTTAGTAAAGCTAGAATATGTGACTAGAAACCCAATAATTTGGATCAAGTATATTACCTCCAGCAATGTACTCCACATTAGTTTTGCTAGCCAATTCCTCATACCTGTGACGATTGTCAGATGAAATGGAAAAAAAAAAAAAAAAATATATATATATATATATATATATATATATATATATAAATCTTATCCTAGAAAGAAAATATCCTTCAATAAAATACTAGCTCAGAAAAAAAAAATGTAGTCCGGAGAGAAAGCTAAAATTCATACAAGATCTGGAGGCTGAATATATAACTAGTTATTACATCAAATTCTTAATTTAAAAAATTTATAAAAATATGTACATTGAGTATTTAGTAAAAGAGAAAAGTAAAACTTGTGATTTTTCAGAACATTCTAGCAAAAAGCATCAGCAGAGAGCACAACGGATAAAAAGTGGGTATACCGGTTTTATACATCCCAAGGACTAGAACCACATCATATTAATAAAATGTATATGAAATTAGGAAAATGCCACACTCAGTACCAGAATAAGAGTAGGTTAATAGAATCGCCAATCAAACGACACAAATTCCTTTGTCTCTCATGTTTTCAGACAATGAACATTGATAGTAGTATAAAACAATAGTAAACAAGTATAACATTGCATCAGCAATCCAAAAAAGTGTAACGGTAAAATCATAATCCAAAAATCAAAGTCAAATAGCGGGTTTGAATATTAGGGTTTTCTATTTTTATTTTAAGATGTAAAATGGTAAAAATACAATTGCATCTGGATACACTATTTTGAAACACTAATATGAGTAGCTTATTGAAATAAGCTAAAAGGTATTAGGAAAAAAAAACTGGCAAAAACAAATGAAATAATTTAATAAAATTTTCATCTACTAATAATCTAGATGAAATGTTTAACCAAACACACTTGGTTGGGAAAGGTAGTAAAGTTTTAAATCTTCCCATAAATTCCCTTAACTGTTAAATGAAAATGCATTTAATGCTTATATGTTTTCAATATATTACATAGAATTAATTTCTATATTAAGCCTCTCTTTATAAAGAGAATCAGAATTAAGATGTTGCAGTACAACATCTTTTGTTTTTCTTTTTTTCAAGAAACACTTTTTCAATGGTTAAGAGAAAAGCAATTGTAACAAGTACTTGTTTATTTTACAACTTCCTGAAAAGATTTATGAAAAAAAAAATTATTTTCCATAATTGAGGTCATACCGACACCTGATAAAGTAGGAAAAGTTAAAAAGCAAAGAACTGAAGTGCATGAATCCATAAACTTGATTGCAATAATCTCAAACTCAGTCCACTTCAAACCAAGCGTGAATTTACAAGTAAAACAACTTTCTTACTCCACATAATCTCTTAACTCTAATTTTTGTAAGCATGGTTTTTTTAACCGAAAAACGGATTTAACAATTGCAAGAGCTTTTAAATATTTTTTTGACAAACATTTCACTCATTCAACCAACAAAATTGAAACAAACAAGAGCTCAGTTGATATACACAAAACGAATAAAAAATTCCAGTGGTTACGCGGGACAAGAAGCTGCAGACAGACATCAAAGAAAAAGAGAAAAATCTTACATAGGCTTGTGCTTATCCTCGGCGAGAATCGCATCGTTCAACTTGATACCATATCTGTTATAGAAAAACAGAACAACCAGCGTTAGATCTGATCCGTCGTATCTCATTTTCTTTCAGATTGACACATCAATCACACAATAAACCTCTCCAACAGTGTTCTTCTGAGTTCTAAGCTCAGAGTAGCAATATTCCGCAACACATCATAATTAATAATGAATAACTACAAATATTCTTATTCATTAATAGTAATAGTGATTTAAAGATAGGGAAATGTGAGGAACAAACCGTTGCAAGAAATCCTCGTCGACGACGGCAGAAATGTCGAGGAGAGGGTTACACATTCCGAGGAGAACGCCGTCAAACTCCATAGACGCGAGAGAGGAGAAAACCAAGATATGAAAAATGCAAAGAGTGGTTAAAGTGGGAGTGAACGAATGAGATGCAGATCTACACGAATGTGAACATGTTGCTTTCTTTTATAGGCGCTTTCGCACATTTTTTGTTTTGTTTTGTGTTTTTTGGTTTTTTTTTTGGGCTAACCGGGCTTTGTGGGATTGGTGGAATTCGCACGATAATGGGTGTTTGGGTGTTGTTCCCTCCATCACCACCCTATACTTCTTCCATCTCTCTACGTTATTTTAAATACAATTATATCCTTAAGTTAAAAAGATTTTTATTTTTACTCTATTTTAAATAATTTGAAACCTCAATTTTACTTTCTCAGTATCCACCCACGAAACTCTCTTCCCCTTTTCTCATTTTCGTTTCACCTCTCCATCTCCCGCACTTCCATTATTTTTTCTTCCCAGCTTTTGTTTTGGTTTGAAAGCTTCCATTGCCGCCGGGGTGTGAAGGAGCTCCGCCGCTGTGGTGTGAGGAACATCAAGGAGCATCCAGAGCATCAACCAGCGTGAGGAAGTATACATCAACAGAGGTGACATCCTTCAACGAATGTCCCCTAATAAAACAAACTCTAAAATAAAAAACGTAACCTTTAAACGGAGGTGACATCTTCAACGGATGTCAACATCCGTTTAAGGTAAAATGGATGTCGACATCCGTTTCTCCTTAAACGGATGTTGACATCCGTTGAAGGATGTTGACATCCGTTAAAGGATGTCACCTCCGTTTACGTTTTTTATTTTAGGGTTTTATTTCGAGGTTTATTCGAGGAAGCACGACACGCATTGCACTGCACCACTCCACGCACTGCACCACGAGAGCGACACTGCACCACGAAAGGGAGACTGCTTGATAATTCTTTCTATTACCACCAACCTTTCCAACTCTTAGTATCTCACAACGAAAGAAAGAGAGGAAAAAATATAATGTTAAAATAAAATAAAAGTATTTTACTCGTGTACTTGAATAGATAAAATTAAAAAATAATAACCCTAAAAATAAAATTTTACTGAGAGGCAAAATAGTAAAGAAGAGGTGAAAGAAGAAAGGTGTGGTGGTAGAAGGAGCAATGGATGTTTTCCTATCCTGTCAGTATCGAGTGAATTAAAGTATTGGGACTGTTTGACAAAATTAATATAGAAAATTTATTGAGTTCGATTTTTATGTTCTGTATAAGTATAATAAAATATTCAAATCAGATATTATACCAGTAGATACTATACTTTAATATCAGGCTGTACATGATTATGATTTCCTAATTTAAAAGTAAAATGTAAGAACATCAATTTTCATGCAATGTATTAATTTTTAATGACTAAAAATATTATTTTAATATAGAACTTTTATTATTGTTATTTTGTTTTGATGTTTAGATCTGCAACCCTCACCAATTCTTGTTCTAATTCTACCAACCAGGTTGGGCCCAGAGTGGAAGTGTATGGCGCACCACACACAATACCCTAATTTTCAACTCGTCGGTCACTATTTTATTTTTAAATTTCAATTGCTATTGCTACCCGAAAAGCATTTGCATTTTTCTTTTAAACAAAATTCAAAATGAAAATGATTTAAAATTACAATGGCAGTTAATAAGACATCACATACCACCTACTTCAGCTATGACTAGCACCTACCACAAACATGGAATTCCTTTGGAAGTTGAAGGTGAAGAAAAAAGTAATAATATATATATATATCATTCACAAAATCTACTAATAATAAAATCAATTATACCATTATGGATTTCTCATATTTGGACTTGGGTCCTCTCTTCTACTTTTTTGATTAAAAAAAAATTGGAGTGTTTCATCCGGTGCTTACATCATTTTTCCTGTCGACAATTTTATCTTTCTAAAAATTAGATAAGCAATAATTATTGTTTATCAAATGTTATTTAATTCTATGTGTATATTTACTATCCTCTTATACCTTAAGTTAACTTGTTTATTTGTACTTCATTCTTATTTTTTTTCTCATGGTTTCTTTCAGTTTTTTTCGTAGTCCCTTGGTGGTGAGTTCTATATGTGGTTTCTTTGCTCGTGTTTAGATTTGTTGTTCATCTTTCTTTAATTGACATCGAGATATAAGCGTTTAAGTTTGTTTTGTTATTTATGTTGGATTTCAAACGGTTAGAAAACAAATCAGATTTCGAAAGTCTATTTTAAAGGTAATTGTATTTCAAAATTTGATTAAGAAATTTATCAGATTTCAAAATCTAATTAGAAAAATCACCAAATTTTAAAGTTAACTGGATTTTGAAATTTAGTTTAGGAAGTCATCGAATTTCGAAATATGGTAAAGTAGTAATTAGATTTGAAAATATGGTTTAGGAAGTCACTGGATTTCAAATTTCGGTCAAGGTACTCGTCAGATTTCAAAATTCGGTGAAGGTAGTAATCAAATTTCGAAATTCAATTAAAAGCTTAACTGGATTTTGAAATTTGGTTACTACTTTCACGAGATTTCGAAATACGATTACTACCCTCAGCGAATTTTGAAATCTAGTTATCACCTTCACTGGATTTTGAAATTCGACGACTTCTTTAAAAAAATTTAATTTGTTAGAATTCATTTAATAATTTATTGGGTATTATTATTAGTATTATTATCAATGAAGTGAGGTATTCTATGGTGGAAATATTATGTTATAGGTGGTTATATTGTAAAATGGAATATTTTCCTTTTGGTTTTATGGACTCAAGTAAATTCGAGTTTCGTGTAAGATTCTTCTTTCATCAATGAAATGTGTGAGGGAGATTATAAAATAGTGGGAAGTTATAATCGACTAAAAGAACTAAGGAAGTCTTTGCTAGTTGACACAAAATCAACAATTTGTGTTGATGTCGTTGACATTTTATTTATTATGTCTTAACTTTTTCTTTCATAACAATTTGTTAGAATCGCATAATGGAATATTCGTGTTAGGACAAAAACCAAGAGAGGTGAATTAATTTGTTAATAAAACTATGCTTTTAAAAACTTTTGTTGATAGAGAGAGCAATGTGAAAGCTAAACACAAACCCTTGTGTGTTTTTTATGATGACAACAACAGAAATGTTTCAATGAGTTTCTTGCACAACAACTGAAACATTTTAATATGCAAAGCTGCATTTACATGTCTGTTTGTACTTGAACTGTTTGGTTTGCAGACTTACTGTGGTTATACATGAGTTTATATCTGTGGTATGCACATTCATGGGTTTGTATGATAAAACTGTTTGCACAATGCATATTTGTATGAAGTAATCGATTACATTGCCTATGTAATCAGTTAGATTCATTAGATATCAGCAAATGCTTTAAATGTGGCAAACTTTAAGTCTTAACCGATTACATTATATGTATAATCGATTAAAACTCATGTCTTTGCTTACACCTGATTGTTGAGTGCAATGATGAGTTTTCAAATGAAAATGTTTTCGAATGAAAATGTTTTCAAAATTTCTTAAGTATTATACTTAACTGATTACACGGTTTTCTTAATCGGTTAAATCGCTTGCACACTGAAAATTGTTTTCATCATAAGTCTTAACTAACATAACGATCATATTTTGAATTGTTTTGAATTATGATAATTGTGCAATTGATTACATTAAATGTGTAATCTATTAAATCTGTTTTAATGTAATTCTAGTATAGCAGTGTTAATTGCTTAACCGATTACATTAGTATTGTAATCGATTAATATGTGTCAGACTTGAGAAAACTATATATATATTACGCATAACACTCTACATTGCTAACTTTTGTACATTTGAACTTTAATATCCGACAAAGTGAGTTGTTAAAAGAAATTGCAGGTGTGCTCATTCTTCAAGAATCAAGAAGCGTTAGTTTGGTAGATTCAAGGGATTCTTGAAGGAATTATTATGTGTTTCATTGGTTGATCATCATCCGCACTTTGAGGTGTTCGAACCAAGATCAATATTGTTGATTTTGCAATCTGAGGATTATGGTTTCCCTGTAGCTAGTGGTCAGGAAGAGAACGTGAGGTTCTGGTTTCTGTGAGAGGTGTTTCAAAGGGTTTCTGCAAAAAGAAGATTGTTCTTTTTGTGTTATATTCTTCTATATTAGATTTTGAGTTGGAGAGAAGATTACATTGAGAGAGGGTCTTTGTAAGTCTTGTTGTATAACTCAATCTTTATAGTGAAGTGACTTTCAATCTCAGGTTGATTGAAAGGGACTAGATGTAGGCATTAAGGTCGAACCAATATAAAAATCTTGGTATTTGTCTTTTTATCCCTTACCTTTTTTATTGTATTACAATCTGTATTTGTTTGTGTTTCAAGAAAGTGCAAAAGATTTTCAAAGGTTTCTGTCAACACTCAATTTTGTCCGGGTTGTAAAAAATGTGTTTTTATTGTTTTTTATTATTTTCCTTTTATTTTATTTTACCTTTTTTTTTATTCTATTTTGATGTATCTAGATCTTTGCGGTTAATTCAATTTCTATTTTATTTCTTATCTTCAATTTGTTTTAGTAGAGTTAATTAATCAAAATAATTGAAAAATTGAAAAATAAGATTGAAAATTAAAAATAAAATAAAAAATTGAAATAAAAAAAAATAATAATAAATATAAAAAACGTGGGGGAGGTGGCGTATGGGGGACGTGTCTGAAAGGGGGAGACCAGGTGGTTAGGGGAATATTTCTGAGATTTTTTTAGAAAGAGAAAAGGGGGAGACCAGGAGGTTAGGGAATATTTTCCAAGAAGGCAGGAGGATTTTGGGAGAGGAGAGGAGAGAAATCGGAGACCAGGTGGTGAGGAGGCATTTTTCCTAGATTTTTGGAGAGAAGAAGGAGGTTTTGACACAGCTCTGTTCTTCATCTTGGAGGATCCATCGCTGAGGAGTTTTTCACCATTTTCGCATTTGCAAAGAGAGACCGAAGTCAGCCGGAGAAGAGTACTCAGTGGAAGCACGATATTGATCATAGCACGTAGATCTTCGAGAGGTAAGTAATGCTGTTTAGAGAGTTATTTGGCTGCCTTTACACATATATATGTTGAATATGATGTTTGCATATTTGTCTGCATACACTGTATATGTTCACTGTTGCATCGCCT